GTTCCGACGCCCCCCCCCCCCCCCCCACACTGTGAGCTACAGTGCCTGAAATGGGGAACACGTGAGACACAAATGAAGGAAGATTTGGCTCAGTCAGGGTATGTAAAGGAAATGATTTGTTCTCTTTTTGAGGCTTTTACATCACATAGTAGCCGAATTTGGTCATTGTTTAGGAGCCTTACTTTAATGTTGAATTCTAGGTCGATAAAATTGACACAAATAACAGAGACTTGTATTTATTAATACATCTTTAATGTATCTTTTTCTAGGTAAACAGTGTAAGTGCCTAAATTTGACTTGGCATTGACCTCTTGCAGTTCATGTACAGCAAAGCTCAGAGTGGGGGAGAGAGGAACAGCACAAGGAACCAGACAGTTGTACTGCAGTCCTCATGTGCTATCAAAGGATCATGCTGATAGAAGACGAGAGGACAGTAAAAGTACTTAAATTTGATCTGGTATCAGTATTTTGCAATCCCTGTACAGAAGATCTCAGAAAGGGGTAGGTAGAAGCAGCACAAGTAGTCGGTCCAGTGTGTTGCAGTGCAAGGTGCATGCTGATATTAGGTATAGAGCAGAGTGGCAGAGAGATGAGCTCATCAGTTTTCCACTTGCCCTTTCACTGTCCAGTCACAGGCTGGGGAGAGACGAGAGCTGTAAGTTTTAGTGAACTGCAGTTCAGAAAAATCAGGTCTCCTGTCCTGCCAGCCAGGACTGTGCTGTGCTGTGCTAGAAGTGTATAAATAGAGGACAGGTTGGACAGAAATTCATATCTTTTGACAGGTAAAACAGCTCCCTTATATGGATTTTAGCTGTGTAGCTGTTTGCATGGAGTTCAGCTTTAAAGTTTAACTGCACTTTAACTTAAAATGACACATTTGCACTTCGGCCGGTGGCCTCTGAGAAAATATGCCAATATGATGGGTTTCCTTTTCTGAAGATTGCAGCGACTCTGCCTGCAGCCTCCTGACTCTGAGTATACCCAGCCATGCTCTGAATAATCTGCTCCAGAGAGACGGATTCCTCATTGCATATACAGCAAAGATGGATGAACATAGACCCAGGCCATACTGCTGGAAGCAAAATGAATCTAAAAAGAAGATAACCCATCATACTGGCTCTATTTCAACCATTTCAGGGACAAGTACAAATGCATTATGCAGAGTAATGATGCAGTTACACTTCCCCAGATCCTTCTCTGGATCTACTCTCCATAGAGAATTTCATGAATTAAACATTGATGGGGCCACAGTTAGGCCTACCATCCTGTTCAGTGCTACTTTATGTACTTATCCAATCCCCATCCCCCGCCCTTTCGAGCGACACAAGGCTCAGGTGTGAGCAGACGCCATTGAAAATAATGGGATTCTTCATGTTGAGCGTTAAGGTGGCCATGCACCTTACAACCATCACACGACTTTCGTTGTGCGATGGTTGTAAGGTGATTAAAATTCCGTACAAACTGCCCATCCTGGACAGGCAGATCGTACTTGCGATCATCGCAAGCCCTCCCTGCTGAGGGGAGGGCTTCCGATGACGGCAGTCAGGGCCGGATTCCCGGCAAGGCCACCGAGGCCCGGCCTCGGGGCGGCACTGAGCAGAGGGCGGCACAGGTTTGAATCACCCGACACCCGGAACCTAGAGTTCCGTGCGGTAATTTACTTTCTACATTTAGCCCTGCTTTGCACAAGCAGCACTAAATGTAGAATAGGAGAAATTACTTGTTTAAAAAATAAGTTAACAAATTATAAAAAAATAAAAAAGTGAAAGATGACAAGTTAAATACAAATTTAAAAAGTAAAAAAAATTAAAAGTGATAAAAAAATTAAAAAAGAGAGAAAAAAACCCATAAAAAAATTAAAACCAACCCTGCAGCCCCCACATTCCCTCGGCAGGGAGGGGGGCATTGCCGAACCCGGCCTTGGGGCGACAGGGAGGGTAAATCCGGTCCTGACTGCAGTGCTGAACGGGCGGCATTCGTCTTCCCACCACGCTACTAAGAGGAAAGTCATACGACCTTACAGTAGAAACTGTTGCACGCTGCCCATACACCTGCCGATTATCGTATGATCGCGGGATCACCGGCGATTATCGTACGATAATCGGCAGGTGTATGGGCACCTTTTATGGAGCTTCAAAAATTGCACAACCTGTAAGTGAAAGTGAAGCTGTAGCAGAGATGGATCAGGTCCCCATCCCTACTAGACATGGCTAGGTCTGGATAAACAAACAGATCAGAGATCTGTTTTGCCGGATCTGATTGTGCTGGATCGGGGGTAATCTGATGTAAACAGAAACTAGTACTTTTACATCTGATTCCCCATAGACCAACATGGGATCCGCTAATTAATGTTGGTCTTTTATATCCATGTCACACATCTTTGGGGTGCTACAGCTAGGTGCTAATCTTCCTTAGGAGTTCAGCATGGCCAAATTAGAGGCTGTGAAGGCGAGATCAGTAATTTTACTATAAAAGTGGCCACTCATCCCTTATAGATATACTGCAAGTCTACAAGTCTGAAAATCTCTCAAAAAATGTGTTTCAAGTAGTCACTTGTCTCCTTAATATGTTATACTGTGCTCCTGGTTGTTGGGGGGGGGGGGGTGATCCCCCACCTCTACACTCACACATGCATTATTCATCATTATGTTTCATTAAGTGTCTCTTATCTGAAGTTATTGTGTTATCTAGATGTTTAGCTTAACTTGACAGTATCCAATGTCTACCAGCAGGTGATATGTTGTAATATGTCCCCAAAAAAGGCACACACTCTGATATTTCATTGGATCGCCTTTAGATTTGATTATGTCACACATTCACCCCTGGCATTGTTTCGATAAGCTTATGCAATGTCACAACATTTATTTTCCATCCAGAGTTGCATTTATTTTTCCCCAAGATCTTGTAGTGATGATGGAAGAGTCGGAGCACTGCGTAAAGTCTTCTCCAGCACATCCCAAACATTCTCAATGGGGTTAAGGTCTGAAATCTGTGGTGGCCAATCCATGTGTGACAATTATGTCTCATGCTCCCTGAACCACTCTTTCACATTCTGAGCCCGATGAATCCCGGCATTGTCATCTTGGAATATGCCCAATGTGCCATCAGGGAAGAAAATATCCATAGATGGAAAACCCTGGTCATTCAGTATATTCAGGTAGGCAGCTGACCTCATTTTTTAGGCACATAACGTTGCTGAACCTAGACCTATTATCCAATGGAAGGCTCTGACCTATATGCTTAGCTAAGTCCAGGTGGTGACTTTTTTTTGGACAGTCAGTATATTTGCTCATATACAAGGACAGATAATAATGAGAAGAAAATAACACTTTACTTGGCGGGATATTGCCTTAAAACAGAGTAAATATTGCATAGAATAGCAGTTGGAGGAAGGAGGGCATGCATAATGTCATAAATACATTTTTCCTCAACACTAAAGATTCATATTTTTCTAGTGCTTTTTTATATTTGTGTCCATCTTCTTTCTCTTTACAGGTGTTCTCTCTACAATAGGAAATAGCTATGTATTATTGATGGCATGTCGAAGGAAAAAGAAGCTCAGACCAGCTGAGATAATGACCATGAATTTAGCATTTTGTGACTTGGGAATATCAGGTAAATGCAAGAGTCAATAAAACCCAAGCGGGCTATTTAAATTTGAATGAGTTGTGCAGATTTGAAAGGTTGTAATGGAAAGGTATTACTGTACAACTGACGCTTATGTATTTTGTACTCCCGCTGTCAACAGGCAATCTGCAGAAGTTAGACACACTATGTTATATTTTTATGCACTTTAAAGGACAACTTCACCTTGTTTAGTTGTCCCTTATTAAACCCCCTCACCCCCCTGAGTGGACGTAGTCTGGATTTATGCTTACATTCTTACATTATGCTTACATACTGATCCTGGGAGCTGGTTGATAGGTCCTCAAGTGGTTTGTTCTCCACCTTAGCAAAAGGGAAGGAAGTAGCAAGAAAACAGGTCAATAGCCACCATCAACGTTTATTGAACAATCTCATGCAAGATAGACCACCTGCATGCCACCATCTAATGTGCTTTACCCACAATGAGCTCAGTCAAAGTTCAGGTAGTCTATCTTGCATTGGATTGCGTAAAATAAACTTTGATAGTGGTTTTTATAGGGTGGAGTTTAGACTACCTGAACTCCACCTGCTAATGGTCCGTTCAGGTGGTCCGTCTTGCACTGGAACGTTCACTAAACTTTGATGACAGCTTTAATCTTCTCATGCAACTACTTCCCTCCATTTTGGCATTCTTGAAAACCTCCAGTCTTGGCATTCAGAAAATATATAATGTTTGGGGGTTTTAAGTCATTTTCAGGCCTAAAATGTGGAATATAACATGGGTGCAAAAAATGAAAAAAGGCCTCAGTCATGAAGGGGTTAAATAAAACAATGCTGTAATGTGTGACTTTCTATAATACATAGCAGTTCCACTTAGATGTAGATGTAGAATCATTCAGGTATTCTGTGCCTCCTATCTGTTCTCTATGCACTAGTGCAGTGGTTCTTAACCTTTCTAGGGCCGGGGCCACTTGATAACATTTGCCAAGTTGTGGTGACCCCCAATGGAGCGCTGGACTCCAGAATTATCAAGGCGCTGGACTTGGGACTAAAAATAGAAGCACACTCACAAGAATACATGCCTTCCCCAGCCCCTGCTTGCCTGCTCTGTCTCCATGCAGCCTTCTCTGCCCCAGCACTGCTTAGACGCCCGCCTCCTGCAGAGCTCACATTGTACGGGAGGCAGGAAAACAGCAGCGGCTGTGAATAGAAAAGCCCTGCGCTGTACACACTTCCCAGCCACTAGAGGTCGCTGCAGCGGCCAGGGAGTGTGTATAGCGGCACTTTTATATTCACAGCCTCTGCTGTCCTCCTGCTGACTGACGCTGCTGCACTAGGAGGAGGCTGAGGAGCCTCTCACCTACCGCAGCTGAAGTGGATGCTGCGACCCCCTCAACAGTGAGTTGCGATAATACCACAAACTAAAATGTTTTTTTTTACACAATTACAATCCTAGCTTTACTGTGTTTAATATTTCATTCATATTTCATTCATATGTAAATGAAGGTTGTGACCTTTAATAGGCATAGAATAGAAACCTTAAATGTAAAATAAAAATGTAATGAAATGTATTCTTATTTAATCCCTTTATTAACACTTAATTAGTCCTGATTAACTACTTCCTCCCCTTTTTTACCTTGGCTTTTATTTTCTGCATTCTGATTTTTTATCACTATTTCTACATTTTACCATTAGTATTTATTCCCCTTTAACTTATATATATATATATATTTTATCAGTGTCTCATAAAAAGAAAATTGAAAAAATTGAAAAAAAAATGCTGATTTTCATTTGTGAAGATTTTAAACAGAGCAAACTATAGAATACAATGTATACTTTTTATTTATAGTAATAGATAATATTGCCAAAAGAAAGCCAAGCTTGTTCACAAAACAACGATGTACAGTGTAAATGTGTAAAAGTGAATACACCCCAATTAAATTGTTGACTTTTTAAACATATTTAAACATGCCAACATTAGATCTTGATTCAGATAATGTCTACAGATAAAGATGATATCCAAATGACACATGAAATGTATATGTTGAACATTCATTTTCATGATCTAAGGGAATTAAAATGCAGATTTGTCCCGCGGTAAAGTAAGCACATTTACCACCACTGGAAATCCATGAAATTAGAATCTGGTGTTCCAGATTAGGTGCCAATGATTAAAACCTCCTTAGGTGCAACCTGACCTTTTTTACATCCTAGACATCTCGGTTCTGGTGTTCTATTTGCTATTGATGTGTGTGGAGTCATTATGCCAACATCAATAAAGTTAATTAAAGGCCCTCAGAAAGAAAATTGGTGATGTCTACAAGTCTGGCAAGTGAAAAGAACACCAAATGATTACAAATCAACCATCCCACTACAAGGGGAAAAAAATAGAAGAGATTTCAAATGACTCCTATTTTGTCAAGGACTTGCCAGTTCAGAAAATTATTTTGATGCTAAAATAAGTCCAAGAGCCTCATCATGCGGTGTCCAGGTAACTTTTGCAACAGTTACGGTCAAAGTGTATGCATCTACAATCAGAAAGAGATTGCACCAAGGCAACCTGCATGAGAGGAGAGTTAAAAAAAAAGCCTTTGCTGCCCAAAAGGAACATTCAAACAAGATTACAGTTTGCCACTGAACATACTGTATAAGCAATGACCAAATCAAAGATAGAGTTGTTTGTCAGAGTAAAAGCAGCCATGCTTGCCGCAAGCCAAAGATAGCATCTCAGTTCCCAATCTTCTCCCTGCAGAGAGCGGTGACTATCAGTCACTGCTCCCCGCAGGAATTCCCACTTCCCCTCTCCGTTCCTCTAGCTCTCATTGGAGGGACAGACAAGGGAGGGGGCAGGCACAGCTGGCTCTGGCTCTAGGTTTGATACATACACTGAGTGGCCAGTTTATTATGACCACCTGACGTTTGTAGGCAAATTAGCTATAATTTTGCGCTGAAGTTGCTAGAGGGCCAGACCATTATAAATAGGGAAGCAGGTTGGTTACCACGACAGTAGAAGTGATTTTTTTCTGAAGATACGGGGAAACAACGCGATTTAACAGCCTTTGAGCGTGGGATGATTGTTGGCGCTCGGAGCCGTTGAGCGAGTATCAGCAAAACAGCAAAATTCGTTAAATGTTCAAGAGCAGCTGTTGTCAAAGTGTTTAAAGACCGGACTGTCAGCCGAAAATCTGGGTCTGAACGTGCGAATTGTGGCCGTCAGCGACTAGTCAATGTTAGGGCAGAACGGAGAGTGGCAAGACTGATACAAGACAACAGAAGGGCAACAGTGCAGAGTCAGATTCCTCGCATCACCTTTCACCATCTCGTGGAGTCACGAGGGGCCCAACGAAGTCATCTCGTGGAGTCAGTGGCGTCCCGAGGCTGGGTGACACCCGGAGCGGTAACCAAGTGTTACCCCGCCGAAACGTCACTGCGCATGCACGTGACGTCACCACGCACGTGCGCGATTACGTCATTGCGCATGCGCGTCAGTATGCTGATACTTGCCGGTGGCCATCTTGGTGATGGACGCCGGCAGAGAGAGGAGGGGACAGTCACCCGGCGGGATAAGGTATGCCGCCGGGTCCCCTCCTCTCTCCTGATACTGTCGGGCGTTCAGTCCATGACCGAGCGCCCGACTTTTCAGAGGGGGGTGACACCAAAATGACTGTGAGTCATTTTGGTGTCACCCCTCCAATGGTGGCACCCGGGTGCGGGCCGCACCCCCCGCACCCCCCTTGTGACGCCACTGCATGGAGTCATCCCGTGGCCCAACTAAGTACCGATGGGGTGGTCATAATAATCTGGCCACTCAGTCTATCTTATAATTTATATCAATCACGTGTATTTAGCTTTGGGCACAGCAAAAAAAAAACAAACCCATTACTAAGTTTTGTTACTTGTTAGACTATATTCCATGTTGAAAAAGTCAACAATGTCCATGGTTTGTGCTTAATCTTTTACATGACTGTATGTTTTATTTTGTTATGTTCAGTAATGACAAAGTTACCACGGAATAAACAGGCCCATAGTGAACATGTAAAAATGTCTCGGGTCCATAAGGGGTATAGAGGTATATAGAGAGACAAATGATTAAGAATGTGACTCTAAAAATCAACTATTTTTCTGCAACTAATGTAACTTCAGATGGGAATCCAGAAGCCTAAAGAGTAATTATTACATAGCAACACTGCCATCTAGAGGGTATTATACAAACTGCAATGCTGTCTTACAATTCCAGCTGTGCTGCCAGTCTGCAAAGCCAGGCAATATGCTGTTTTATGCCTGGTAAAGTCACATATAAATACATTGAATAATTATAATAAAAAATATAGTTGTGGGTCCAACAATTACAAAACAGAGTTATAATTGAGAATATATATATGCTGGAACAGTTTATTTTCTGAGACTTTTATCCTTATCCTGATTTCATTGCCTGGTGGGTGATGGTCAGGGAGCAAGTGAGGAGCCAGTGAAGGCTCACAAATGTCTATATTCACTTCTTGAAAGTCAGTGTTTTACTAGGTAGTGAAGGAAGAATAAGGACAACAATCCTAAATCAGGCAACTTAAAGGAGAACTATGGGGTCAGTGTTTTTCCCCATAGTTCTCCTTGGGGTAATGGGAGGACACCAACTATCGTCCTCCCGTTACCCTAAGCTCAGTATACCGCGAGCTACAGCTCGCGGTATACTGAGACGCCGCACCTGGAGCGGATCCCGACTTAGATGCCGGGATCCGCCCAGCTGCGTGAGTGACAGCTGGCTCTGCCTATCTAGAGGCAGAGCCAGCTGTACCCGCCCCCTCCCCCGTCTGTTCCGCCAGTCAGCGCTGGCAGATCGGAGCGGGGAGAGGGGAATCCAGCCCCTCCCCCTGTCACGGCAGAGAGCTGTGACAGGATCGAGAGGTGAGGGAACCCGGTATGTGTTCCCTCACCTCCCGATCTACTGAGCCGACCTGTGACAGTCTCATTGTCACAGGTCGGCTTAGAACTATGAGGTGAGTGGAAATCACTCACCTCATCGTTCTCCTTTAACAAGTCAGCAGGGACAGGAAGTGAAGGGAAATCTCCCCAGACAAAGCTGGCTTTACATACCCCATGCTTCAAGACTTGTGGCTTTCAGTTCTTTCCTTGTCCTGGGTAAAGTGAACAATAATCCATTAAACTGAAACCGTTTCATTTTCCTGTTATCTTGATTGATGGTGAGATTTATTGTGAAGATGCTCAGACATGCACAGATGTAACTCAATCATTAGAAATACAGGGAACCAAACCAAAAGGTGAAAAAGTCCAATATATAGATATATACAGTATATAGATAGATAGACAGATAGATAGATAGATAGATAGATAGATAGATAGATAGATAGATAGATAGATAGATAGATAGATAGATAGAAGATATAGTATCTTCAAATTATCACATTCTAAGCCCTGATGAAGGGGGAGTGTTGTTGCCCCTGAAATGCATTGGCTGTTTTTGTTTGATTGAATTACTCTCTCACCTTTCAGTTTGGTGCCCTTTCATTTATTTAGTACCCAAATAAGGGAGGCCTGTTAGGTAGTGGGGTGGTAGCGGTAGGGTGTAGCGAACGGTGTATGTTACTGGGGAGGGGGGACGGAGGGTGTTTGGGTGGACGCTACCGGGGGGTTGAGTTGTGTTGGTATGTGGTATCCGCATTCGTTATCGTGGGGGGGTTTTTTTGGGGGTGGTGTGCACGCAGGGCCGGATTTCCCACAGAGCCCGGCCTTGGGGCAGCAGGAAGTAGAGGGTCAGCAAGGGTGTGGAATTCCTATTGCCCGACACCCGGGACATGCAGTTCCGAGCACCGAGTAAAAGATAATAAAATAAATAACATTTAAAAAAGTTAAATAAAGAAGAAAATAAAACAGCGATAAAAAAAGAAATCAAATACTAAAGAAAAAATTAAAACCAAACATGCCGCCCCCACCATCTGGCTGCCATTCTCCATTAGGGGGGTTGGTGGGTAGGGGGGTGCATTGAGGAACCTTGCCTTGGGGCAGCAGGGAGAGTAAATCCGGCCCTGGGTGCATGTGACCGGGGATGTGTGCAAGGTATCTCTGTACAGCATCCTGCCCAGCTCACTGACATCACTGGTTGCCGTGAGCTGGGCAGGATGCCAGCCAGAGCATCCTGCTCAGCTCCTGGCAACCAATGAGATCCAGGAACTGTGCAGGAGGCTGGGCAGAGCGTCATAGGTTGCTAAGACCTGTTAGCAATTTGGGATGCTCTTTCTAGATTCTCTGCCGCCCAAGCCCACTCCCCATACATGACCAAATGAGATGCCAACTGAGACAACCGCTTCCGGGACAACCTCAACCTTACCACTGAACCATCACATTCTCAAACAATTCTTCCCCACACAGCTACCTTCTCATGTATCACTTCCCCCTCCTCTTTTAGATTGTAAGCCCTCATGGGCAGGGCCCTCCTTACCATCTTGTCTTGAATTGTATTGTAATGTCTTCCTTATATTGTAAAGCGCTGCGCAAACTGTTGGCGCTATATAAATACTATGTAATAATAATAATAATAATGTTATCTGATGACCGATCACCCGTCATATCGTTACAGTGACAGGAAAACCATTCGCCATCATATCCTTTTTCAGCAATCGCTGGGTGTTTGGCTGGAGCATCTGCCAGTGGTACGGATGGAATGGCTTCTTCTTCGGCTGTGCTAGTCTCATCACTATGACAGTGGTCAGCTTTGACAGATACATGAAAATCTGCCATCTGCGATATGGTGAGTTTGAGGCCGGTGATTGGAGATGCAGCTAATTAGAGCCTTTCTCTTTAAAGGGATCATTGTTATTTTCAGTCATTTTAAATGGTTTCCAAGTTTATAAACTAACGTTGTATTTTCTTTCAATTGTTTGGGAAAAATCTTTATTTTTCAAATGAAAGGTACATCCACAACAATCAATATGCAGAACTTACTCAGTTTTTTTAATAGCGGAGCACATTGTTAACATTGTGTTAACAATGGGGATAGTCTCAGGTTTGGACCAAGACCTGATCCCTCCTGCTATATATGTATATTTCACAACACAGAGACACTTACAGGGTTATTCACAAAATTGTGAAGAGTTTGGAGAAGGCAGGAGAAGTGAACAATCTAGGACAACATAGCTGAACTGGAAAGTGAGTTCAATTGCAGAATTTTTCCAAATCGGCTATTTTGGCCTAGATTCTTCACTTCTTCTGCCTTCTCCAAACTCTTTACTGTTTTGTGGATAACCCTGTTAGTGTTATGTAAGCTAACAGGTACTCACAAAAGTAGAATATCAACGAGCATTCGGACAGTAGAGAGACCGGACTGGAGACATCCGTGTGATACGTCCTATGTACAGATCAGAGAAGTGTTGATGCGTTTCCGGGGCATGCCCCCTTCGTCAGAACATGACTCTAGTCTCCCCACTTGGAATAAGAGGGGACAAAAGGCACCTTATTGGATAGTGCTCAATAGCGTACATGGGAGGTGGCCAAGTCAAGTTGGTGGTGGGCGGGCTAAACTAGCCTAATTTAAATCAAGTTTTTCCTCCCAAGTGGGGAGGAGGCTAGAGTCATTTTCTGAGGAAGGTGGCGTGCCCCGGAAACGCGTCAACACTTCTCTTTACTGATCTGTACATAGGACGTATCACACGGATGTCTCCGGTCCGGTCTCTCTACTGTCCTAATGCTCGTTGATATTTTACTTTTGTGAGTACCTGTTCTTTGTAGAAATAAAACAAAGGTTTTTTTACAAGTAATATAAAAAAATGAATAAAGTATGTAAAAAGCGATAGATCCCCTGTAAAAGATAAATAGCTTCAGTATATTCATGTGAGCCACTGTCAGTCAAGGCACTGTAAGATGGGGATTCCTAGGTGAGGTAGGTCAGTGTAGAATCCAGAGGAAGTATGGACATGGTCATGATCAAAAGCTATAGGGAATGTCAGGGAAGTAGCCATGGGTTCAGCACACTCGGGGAGGTAGTCACGCAAGAACAGGGGTCACAACCATGTGATACTACACACTGTCAAATAGAAGTCAGGTTACCGACAGGTGGAGATGTGCCAGCTAGGTAGCTACTCTTATGGCTGGAATGCACACTGTCATATTTGAGGCCTTCCGGCTTTTCCAGGTTGTGGGTGGCCCAAGGCCTAGTAGCACAATCACCTTTCTCACTTCACTCACTACCCACTTGTAGTTTTATTGTGTATAGCTCATACACCCAGGTACGGTTTCCAGAGGTTTGTGCCACATTCCCTCAAAACAACATGCACAGTCCATAGGTTGATTCACATGGTACGACCAAACACTTATAGAGACTTAATGGTGCTCATGGTGTCCAAAGTGCAGTCCCTCGCTCCTCTTATAGACTAGGACAGGAGCGTAACACTCAACGCTCTAACTCCCCATGGCAGGTCAAAGGTAGACACCCGTTACTCCAGTTCTTGTTTTCAATGGACTCCGGAAGGGTACATACATCCTTACCGCTTTACAAAACCTTTACTGGCAATCTCAGCTCACACTCAAATGTGGAATGTAATAATATTTTCATTCAAATTTACTTACTGAAATATATATATACAAAGTTCATACATTTGGCAGAAAGTATGCAGTTCCTCCATGACTTCAGTTGAACCAGGTGCTTGCAGTTATCACTTCTAGTGGGCCCGGATTCCCCACAAGGTCACTGAGGCCCGGCCTCGGGGCGGCAGGGCACAGAGGGGCGGCAGCGTCTGTGGAATCCCCTGACGACCGGAACATGTAGTTCCGGGCGCCGGGCATTTAGCCCTGCTTTGGGAAAGCAGGGCTAAACGTAGCGTGAGGAAGCCGCTCGTTCGTTTTCCCCCTCCCCCTGCACTTACCTCTCTCCTCGCTGGCTCCGTCTTCCGGGCTCCGCCGCTGAGTCTGTCTCCTCACTGACAGCCGATGCGGTGAGCAGAGCGGCAGGGTTAAAAGTAACCCTGCCGCTCCGTGTACACAGTGAGAGGGGAGAGCTGTGCTCTTCCTCTCTCACTTGTCACAGGAATTCCAGCACAGTGCTGTGCTAGAACTCCTGTATTGGAGGTGACAGGGTCAATAAAGAGAACCTCTCACCTCCAAATACTGTCACACAGGTGCATGTTAGTGTGATAGCAATAAAGTTAAGTGAAAAAAAAATGAATTGATAAAATATGATTTCAATAAATATAAATAAATAAGTAAAAACTAATAAGTAATAATGTGCCCCTGCCATCCGGTTGCCATTCTCCATTGATGTGTGTGTGGGGGGGGAGGTTGCGGGGAGGGGGGCGCATTGCGGAACCTGGCCTTGAGGCAGCAGGGAGAGTAAATCCGGCCCTGAGTGGACTCTCTCTTAATGGTATTCCCATTTTAACCATTGCCCGATAGAGAGGTTTTAACATCCCGCTTTGACTCATCACATATTGACTGAGCAACTTCCCATCTCATGTTGACTCTGCAGCTGCCCTACCCCCCCTAAAATATTATTCCAAAGATGGGCAGGGGAAGCCAACCCAGACTGGCAGGAAAAAGCTCCGCAAGAAGCCTTAATCCTAAATTTTACCCAACATTGCCAAGAAAAAAAAACAATCAACCAACAAATTTAAAATGTTGAGTGGTTTGTCACCCTTCTATAGTTACAGGAACAGTTCCAATATAGTAATTGGAGAAAACCACTGGTAGTACCCAGCCAACCCATGATTATATCTGGCTTGTATATACCTGCAGATCATCACACCCCACCTCTCACCTTCTGGTTCCCACCTAAATAGCCATCACAAATGCGCCTATTCTATGCAAATAGATTCTGTAATTACATTGTGCAGAAGCTTAGACTTCATTCCATGCTTATTGTTATGGCTTCTGCAAGAGGTCAGAGCCATAAATTACTATTCAGAGATCCAGCACTAGACATGTAAGCTGTGGAAAAATTTGGTTCGGATATGTTGTTATTTCGGTTATTCGGATCCGAAATACAATCCGGTCTGGGCTTTCAATTCGGACGAAATAAGAATTTTCATTAGTTTCGGATGAGTTTCCGAATATTCATTGCGAATACCACAGAAAACCTAATACAGATATTAATACTAAAGCTGGGGCCCTAGACCCGAATGGCATTCGGGATCTGAATTTCCGAATTGCATTCGGGAGCTCCCAAATGGCATTCGGTTCTGGGAGCCTCAGTTTTAGTAATATATGTAATGGCATTCTGGATCCAAATTCTTGAATTGCATTCGGGAGCTCTAGTCTACTAGTGCTCAACAATATGCAAACCACACTTGCTGTAAGCAAAGGGTCAACCCTATATTGGCATGTTTATATATATAGCTCCCAGACCTGTATGGCATTCGGAAGTTCCCGTATGCAATTCGGAAATTCGTATCCTGAATGCATTTGGGTCTGGGAGCCATATACATATGTTACTAAAGCCGAGGCTCCCAGACCTGAACGGCATTCGGGAGCTCGCAAATGCAATTCGGAAATTCGGATCCCGAATGCCATTCGGTTCTGGGAGCCTCCGCTTTAGTATTATATGTATACACTGTATATGGCTCCCATGTTGCCGTAAAGGAAAATTCATATTCAGACCCAGTCGGATGCATTAAACCGAAAAACACATCTGATTGGCCAGAAGAGTCACATGTTCGATGCAGTTTTGTTTTTGAACAAAATGTGGACGGGATCCAAAGTTCGGAAACGTAAATTGGGATTCAGACACATTCGGATGCATTGGGATTCGGAAATTCAAAGGTCCGAATTTCTCAAAATTCGTCTGAATTTTGATTCATAACTGAACGAATCACACATGTCTATCCCGCACCAGAGTTATGAAAACCCAATAGACAGTTTAATCCCCAAGTATGACATATCTACTTGTATTTTTGCCATTTTCTTGGCCAAGGAAACAGGTTTGCGTTATTTGCGGCCTCCCCAGCAGCATACAGTTACCTTTGCTCTGTTCAGTGCTAGTAGCTGAAGGAAATACCCGGTACGTCTGATTATAGAAGAGCATATGACTTGCTCCATGTGGTAGAACTAGGCCATACAGTGCTGTCACATAGGGAGTCCATGGCTCTGTGTAAGATATGACCCCAGCAACTTGTAGCATACATGGGACCGACCTTTTGCTCCCATCAGCTGAACAGTGCGGTTGGTAGGTTGGTAAATATTTGTGGAGGTGTGCATTAAAGTGAACCTCTTGCTTTGCCTTCTATGGGCAAAGCACAGATTCACCTTAAATGTGAAATTTGTTTTTCTCTTAAATCTTCTCAAAAACCGCACTTTTTTTTTTGTAGGTACTTGGCTGAACAGACGGCACGCCTTCATTAGCCTGATCCTTATCTGGATCTATGCATCCTTCTGGGCCACTCTGCCAATGGTTGGAGTGGGGAACTATGCTCCGGAGCCATTTGGAACATCCTGTACATTAGACTGGTGGCTGGCCCAGTCTTCTCTAAGAGGGAAGGTCTTTGTAATCAGCATATTGATCTGTTGTCTTATTCTGCCCACCGTTGTCATTGTGTTCTCCTATGCGAAGATCATCGCCAAAGTCAAGTCTTCTGCTCAAGAAGTGGCAAACTTTGATACCAGTAATCAGAAGAATCACGCGCTGGAGATCAGGCTGACCAAGGTGACCAACTGGCCTGGGCTGTCTCATTAAAAAGAATGGGCCTAAGGCAGCCATGCTGTGTAATTTGGCACTTATTGCACTTGCTGCACTTGTTATCAAAACAAGTGATGTCATAAAACATGTATAGTAAAGGCCTTTGGCGCCAGTAAATGTGCAAAAGCAGCAGAACTGTATAGCAGATGGATACTGTAATTTGAATCAGCATTACCAGCCAATCAGCATTGAGCCAGCTTCCTGGCCAATCGGGAAGCTGGGAGGCGAGTAATTACTGCCCGGCTTCCTGATTGGCTGGGAAGGCGGCTCAATGCTGATTGGCTGGGAAGCAGGTTTCCCAGCCAATCACAACGCACTGAAAATGCTGCATGACCTACTTTGCCAGTTTTTTAGCATGAGTGGCACCCATTGACATCAATGGGCGTTGCACTGTAAACATGGCAAAAATGCGCCACTAATGTCCATTCGCGTTGGCACGCATTCAAGCATCGTGTAGTGTGAGTGGGGACTAAAGCTGGCCATACACTAGTAGATTTCTGAACAAATTATCTTTTTTTACCACCCGCTAATGTCATCAGACACTTGGCTGTAGTCGATCGAAATTTCATTTGATTTTGGAATGAATGTGCTTTCCCAAACAAAAAACACATTTTCTTCCATTTAATTTTGTTTAATGGAGAAAAATTTTCCAACATGCCCCCATTATTTTGTCATTGCAGTAGGAATCAATTGCCGATTTGACCCAATCAACTAATAGAAAGTCGAATGAATGTTCTTTTGTACCAAAGTTCTTTCTAAAAACTAAGAAGTGTATGGCTTAGCTTAGAGTTAAAATGTAAGTCCAGCCGAAACATTTCTTCATATACAGCATTGTAAGGGCTCCATCCAGTGACCATTTGTATATCGGGGAATGGTATTAGTAATAGTCAAATAATTTTTTCACGTATCAGTGGAAGTCCAGACAAAACGTTTTTATTGGGCGAGGGTTAAAAGCTCTATCAGACTTTTAGGCCTCGTTCACACCAGACACAGTGCGTTCCGGCCTGATTCTAGCCAGAACACACTGTATCGCATTGCGGCCAGCTCACTATGTTGTGGGCCAGAAGATGGCGTGACGGTCCATTGAAGTGAAAGGCCCAGTAGCCACGCCCTCCGGCAGCAATGCGATCGGCCGCACGGGAATGCAAGGCACATTATGTCTGCGGTCCGGTCCGAACAAAATAGTGCTTGCCCAGAATCGGGCCGGAATGCACTGTGTCTGGTGTGAATGAGGCCTAACTGATAACTGTTCCATTTGGGAGATTTCTTCTCACTTCTTGCCAAATCATCTCAGTGGGTTGCTGGACCTTTCCCTACTCTATGCAAAGAAAATTACATTTGGCTGAACCCCCTTGGTTAATGTTTCAAAGTAATCTCAGCCGACAAACCCAACAATGGCTATGCAAATGTTGCTGAAATGTGTATTTTCCTTTCAAGAACAAATATGATGGTTGAATGGCGGTAAGGAGAGTAAAAAGTGGCAGGTGAATACAGTTTATAAATTCTGGGGAAATTTTTTTACCAAAAGAGCCGCAAATTGATTAATGGGTGCTTCATAACCATACCGCAGTATAATACTAGCTATTGACCATGGCAATAGAATGAATATGGCACAGAATGTACAAATTTGTTCTCTCTCTTCTGACCACCAGGTGGCGATGTTGATCTGCGCAGGATTCCTCATTGCTTGGATTCCCTATGCCGTTGTGTCGGTCTGGTCAGCTTTCGGGAGCCCGGATTCCGTCCCTATTGAACTTTCTGTGATACCGACTTTGCTGGCAAAATCAGCGGCGATGTACAATCCCATCATTTACCAAGTTATCAACTGCAAATGCCCATGCTTCAGATCGGCCAAGACTCTGCAGAAACCCAATTCCCGGTACGGTGTGACAAACAAATCCATCTCATATCACTCACCAGTATTCCCTCTTTTAAATGCAAGGGACATTTGTTGAGAGGTGAAAAAATATTTTTGTATCAAAGCCATTTCTAATATTCACAAGAAAGTGTAAGCATAGGAGAAAAAAAAAACTATGTGCTGCATTTGAATAATGCATGCACTGGTGATAGGGTGGCTTGGGCTTTCTCATATTCTGATACCATAGGTAAATCTTCACTCGGCAAACACATTAAAATGTATCTAAACCTAAAAACAAACATTTTATACCTTGCAGCCTACTGGTCCTTAGGGTCAGTTCACACCAGAAACTGCATCACAACTGCGTGCATCTGGGCAGTTGCACTGCGATCCGTTTTGATGCGTTCTGACGCGTTTGCAATGCGTTTTGATGCGTTTTTTTTCTGCACTAGAAAATGCTAATTAGACAATTAAGTCACATATCTGCATACAGGAGGACAGTGTTTCCTAAACATGTGAGGAGTGAAGATGCTGATGTCTGATGACTCTGCATACTCTTTAGCACATGGGTGGTATACAACTATCTAGCTGAACTTATATAGAAGTTTGAGAAAAAGTGAACTCACCACATTGCTGTTTTCTGCACCCTGTTCACAGCCCCAAAACCTAGTGCGACTTTTCAGCAATCTTCCTCCACTTTGTCATCTTCTGGCGATTATTCTTATATTGGGGAAGTTTGCTGTCGTACAGCAGGGGAGAGTCCCGCACATCTTGGATGAAATCATCTGCATCCTCAAATTACATCTCTTCACTTTCTCTCCACACTACAAAGAGGAAGTCCCTGGATGATGACATAATCAATTCTGAGTCTTTTTTTATTTTTTATTTATTGTATGTGTTCCGGTGCGTTTGATGCGTGTGCTATGCGTTTGCATTTCAATGCAGTTTGATGCAGGTACTGATGCAGCAGGTTCTGACTGCATCTGAACGGACTGCAATGGTGTGAATTAAGCACAAGAAAGCCCATAGGAAAGCATCGTGATGTATTTTGACTGCAGCAGTCAAAATAAACGGACTGCATATGTGAACTGGTCCCTAGTTGTTGTGGCTGCATTAGTTTTCTTTTTGTCAGGTCCTTTCTTTTCTTCAAGAAAAACACAGCAAATCCAGTTGCCTTGACTTATTTTTTATACAGATACTTATTTTCTGCAGACCAGTATCCGATATTTTACTTCTACCAACCAATGGATTACAAACTGGAGGATAATCCACAACAGACACCGCTCACATTCCCAAACCGACTTGCACTGTGATTGCATCCCAGGTGCAGGCAAACAAGCGCGTCATTGTCTAAAACATCTAAATCCAGAAATAGCCGCACTCCAAGGGTCTTCCTCCCAAAAGTAAAAGTCTTTATCTATGGAGCAAATATATACTGTGAAGTTCCTTCTCATGAACGCTTAACCCTTAGCGGATTTCACCATTCCGGCTTACTCATACAGAACCTTAGATAAATAGAACTCCATGAGTAAGCCGGAATGGTGAAATGCGTTAGGTTAGGCTTACATGGGGAGGAACTTTACAGTATGTATTTGCTTCATAGATAAAGATTTTTACTTTTGATGAAGACCCTTGGAGTGTGGCTATAGGTGGATTTAACAAACTGGTGGGGTGTTAGAGATCTGCATCATGGTGCTGAGACGGTAACAACAAGCGCAGAGTCTAGCAGCAAAGAACACAGACATCTCAGGAGTGCTCTGAAACTTTTTGGCTTCCCAGACTGGGTTTATGGTATAACAGCCAAGGTCAAGCATGGGACCATTGAACAGGAGGAGGACCAGAACATACAAAGTAATATAGTCATCCTGTATATGTAGCTAGAGTGTCAGAAAAACTCATAAGGGTCTTTAGCAAATATTACATCCTGGTGTACTTGAGCCTCAGCAATACAATGAGAGAGAAACTTGTACATCGAAGAGACCACCCATCACCCTGTCCACCTATCACATATAGCGCCAACAGTTTGCGCCACGCTTTACAATGTAAGGAAGATATTACAATTACAATACAATTCAAGACAAGATGGTAAGAAGGGCCCTGCCCCTGAGGGCTTACAATCTAAAAGAGGAGGGGGAAATGATACATGAGGAGGTAGCTGTGTGGGGATGAATTATATGAGAATGTGATGGTTCAGTGGTTAGGTTGAGGTGGGATAGGCTTCACTGAAGAGATGAGTCTTTAGGGAATGCCTAAAGACATTCAAGGTGGGAGATAGACGGACAGGTTGGGGTAAAGAGTTCCAGAGGATGGGAGAGATCCTAGAGAAGTCCTGGAGGCGAGTATGGGAGGAGTTGACTAGGGAGCTTGAAAGCAGGAGGTCTAGGGAAGAGCGGAGTGGATGGTTAGTGTGATACTTTGAGACAATGTGTGAGATATATACGGGGGCAGAGATATGGATGGCTTTGTAAGTGACTGTTAATATTTTGAATTTTATCCTTTGGGCGAGTGGAAGCCAGTGCAAGGATTGGCAGAGAGGGGATGCAGACACTGAGCGGTTGGTCAAGTGAATGAGTCTAGCAGCTGCATTCATGATAGACTGAAGGGGGGATATCCTGCGTAGTGGAAGGCCAATGAGGAGGAAGTTGCAATAGTCAAGACAAGATATAACAAGCGAGTGGATGAGTAATTTTGCGGTTTCTTTGGTGAGGAAGTGGCGTATTTTGGAGATGTTACGAAGGTGAAGGCGGCAGGATTTGGATAGTGATTGGATGTGGGGAAGAAAGGTGAGGTCTGAGTCAAGGATGACACCTAGGACCTTGGACATGTGCAGTAACTTGGTCTATGCAGTGAAGTGTGGTGAGAAACGCACAGACCTGTACACTGGGGAGATAAAATTACCTGTCAACAAACAAATGGCACAACATAGGAGGACACATTCTACAGGCCAAGAAACCGCAGTCTTCCTACACCTCAAGGAAAATGGACATTCTTTTTAAGGACAGTGAGGTCCATATTTTGGTCAGATAGGACAACTTATTTGCAAAATGGTATGAAAGAGGCCTCCTATGTCAAACTGGAACAACCATCCCTGAACAGAGGGGGAAGCCTTTGACACCATCTGTTGCCCAAATGTCATTTTAACATATCTACCCTGGCAATGTGTCAGCAATTCACACCTTCAGCAATGTGAATCAAGGGTTTAAAACTAGAGGTGCACCAAAATGAAATTTTCAAAACCGAAACGAAACCAAAAATGTAAAAAAATGTCAGGCCGAAACTGAAAACATTTTTTTCTAACCTTTTCAAATTTGTATTAAATATTTTATTTTTATTTATTTTTATTAAATAATTTTTTTTACTGTATTGTTGGGGGTTTCGGGGGAAATATTGGGGGTCTTAACAGACCCCTAATATTTCCCTTTCAAAATAGACAAAGGGATTGAGAACACTTCCAGCATTCCCTGTTAAAAATGAACACGAAGCCTTTATACTGACTGTTCCTGTTTATTCATAACTTGTGGAGATAGTATATTTACCATGTCCACAATCATGAGTGAACAGGAAGTGATGTAGAACACTTCCTGTTCATTCATAATTGAGGACACAGTAAACATACTCTGTCCTCGATTATTTACAAACACTCAGCGATCACTGATCACTGACTGCTTGTACTCACTCTCCTTCCTGACTCGCTGGCGCAGGAGTGGGGTGGTGTGGTAGGAGAGCTCAGCCTCCTGTGGCAGCACTGACAGCTGTCAGTGCTGTCACAGAACTGAGGAGAGACGCCAGGAGGAGAGACACCAGCCACCCACATCGCTCTCCTCCCTGCACCGCTCAGCCTCCTGTGACAGTTTCTCTCCTCCCCACTGGACGCAGCACTGTATCAGAGGGGACACAGAGCAGCGCCCAGCGGGGAGAAGAGAAACCAGGGATGCATCGCTATTTCGGCTGAAAGATGGCACTTTCGGCATTTTGCCAAAAGGGCCATTTTCGGACGATCTGTTTTGGCGGCTGAAATTTTGGTCCATTTTAAACCTATACAAACTTCCTGACATGACAAGAATTGGATTATATAGCTAGAACAGGGTCCCACATCTTTCATGCCTTCCATCCTGTTCTTGGATAATCAACATCTGCACATTCCATGGTGATTGGGTTAACGTGTCTGTGCTACACGTGTGGATATAAATGTTGGGGGTATGTTCCTGATACTCATCAGAAATGAAGAAGTGGACACGTTACGAAACATCTTCAACATTACAGAACAAGTCCAGTTGACTTTGTTGCTCCAACATGCTGCCCTTTTAGCTCACATGAAGTGACAAAAACACAACATTTCTGGTAAGACCAACAGATCTTTTCTGTACTTGCTAAACAAATGCAGTCACCACATCTTAAGGCTGGTAAGCTGCACTAAATGACAAGCTTGTTTTTGGGTTTAGATGCATGTAAAGGTTGTGCTCACAAGCCTATGTTACCGTATCACAGCAAAACCCCCAGTCATCGGGTGAAAGAATCCAGGATAATGGGGGCGACTAATTCAGATCAGACGGTTTGGGACACAAAGCCCAATATGTAAAGACTCTCTTTGAATAGGTGTACCATATCTCTCATCTGGTTTCTGCCAAAGGAGACTGGAGCACTGCAACCAAATAGATATTGCTTTGGTTAAAAAAATATGAATCAGATATGCAGATTACTCTATTTTAATATGTAAATGATCCACTATAGTAGGAGGGGGTCTTTTTTTCTCTGGGCCAGTACTAATGAAATGTGTTGGACCAGTGAGTGGAGATTCCAAATGTCCTAGCCCTCCCCTGCTTTATAGAGTACTGTGGGGATTAGCTCCAAATGGTAGCGCATTAAGCACGGAGTCCACTCGCAAACATGTTCTTTTCAGGGCTTCCTGCCCACTTTTATTTACCAAAAGTTCGCAAACATACAGTAATTACCCTCGCAGGGGTTCTTTAGCATCCCTTGGCAGCACATGCCCATCCAACCTCCTGGCTTTGCATTTGCAGCACCGCTGCTCCGGCCTCAGCCCACTGTCTGTACCTCCAGACAGTCACAGTTGTGTGCTAACCTGCACACTGGGGTTTTTCCAATCCTGTAGCACCCTGCTGCGCTGGCCTCCACTCCGACTCCTGGGTGGAGCTTTCCTGTCTCCCTGGTGGAGCTTTCCTGTCTCCCTGGTGGAGCTTTCCTGTCTCCCTGGTGGAGCTTTCCTGTCTCCCAGATGGAGACTTGAACCCTTCCCAACACCTTCATTTTAAAGGCTGTGCACACCTGTGCCATCAGCATGCACTGGCCACTCAAATTCCGGACACAGAAATGGAGATAACACAGTGGCACAGTACACATTTGCATCAATCCCTGCCCTTTATTGGGAATGTATAGTTATATCTAAGGGTGCTTACTTGAAAGTCTCACTCAATATATTCCCATTGTACACATTCCTGGACAAGACCTGAAGTAAGAGGGTGTTGTAGCAGCTAGAAGCAGTTAGCAGGTCGACTGGTACCATCATATATAAGAACATGTTATTCGCAAAGCATAATGCAGATGTTTATTGAAGTAATGACCTCACAATAAGAGGTGAGTTATAAACGACTCCTACAGCGAACAGCTACTGTATGTGAATAAGATTTGAGGAGCATTATGGCCATTAGATGAAGCCAAGGAGCATAGGATTTTCCTTATGTCTTTGACTGCATCTAGTGCCCATAATGGCAGTTGGCAAGGGGTCCTTTTTCCTTTGGGCTAGTACTAATGAAATATGTTGGACCAGTGAGTGGAGATTCTTTACCATTCAAACCTCAAGAATTCCAGTCAGTGATACATGCTGGGCATTATACACCGATCAGCCATAACATTATGACCACTAGGTGAGGTGAAGTGAATTGCATTGCAGGGTGATGCTTTGGGCAATGTTCTGCTGGGAAACCTTGGGTCCTTCCATTTATGTGAATGTTACTTTGACACGCATCACCTACCTAAACATTGCTGCTGACCAAGTACTCCCCTTCATGGAAATGGTATTCCTTGATGGCAGTTGCCTCTTTTAGCAGGACAATGCGCCCTGCCACACTGCAAAAATGGTTCAATAGTGTTTTGAGGAACACAGCAATGAGTTAGAGGCGTTGGCTTTGCCTCCGAATTCTCTAAATCTTTTTCCAATCAAGCATCTGTGGGATGTGCTGGAAAACCTCATCTCCCAACCTACAGGACTCAAAGGGTCTGCTACTGATGGCTTGGTGCCAGATGCTACAGCATACCTTCAGAGGTCTAGTAGAGTACAGGCCTCAACAGGTCAGGGCATTTTTGGCAGTAAAAGGGGGACCTACTCAATATTAGGCAGGTGGTCATGATGTTATGCCTGATGGGTGTATGGCTATCTGCCACCTGTTTAGCCCGCTGATCTTCCATCATTGACTTCCTTTGCAGCTATGTAGTCCATTCCGGGAATGAGCTTGGAGCGGTGGCTACTTCACAACACACACAGGGACCAAGGGGAACAAAAGTAACCCCCCTCCAGAAGGAAGGACAGTGTCAGCACCAATTCAGAGATGATTTGAGGATCTACAGCCGAGTGATACACAAATAAGAGACATTTTTGGTAATAGTTAAGGTACTTGAATCATTTTTAAGGTTTAAAGCAGAACTATGAGGTGAGTGATTTACACTCATCCCCATAGTTAGAGCCGTAGTGTGACATTGAAACTGTCACAGGTCGGCTCTATAGATCGGGAAGTAAGTGAACACATACCGACGCTCGCTCACTTCCGGATCATCTCCCTGCAGAGAGCGGTGACTGTCAGTCACCGCTCCTCACAAGAATTCCCCCCTCCCCGATCCTCTAGTGCTGAGTGGAGGAACGGACGGGGTAGGGGGTGGGCACAGCTAGATAGGCAGAGCCCGCTGTCAATCAGCCAGCTGGGTGGATCTCGACAGTATTGTCGGGATCCATCCCAACTGCGGCGCTCTCAGTATATCGCAGGCAATAGCTCGCTATATACTGAGCTTTGGGTCATGGGAGGATGTTAGCATATGTCCTCCCTTGACCCTAAAAAGAACTATGGGATAAAAAGGTCACCCCATAGTTCTATTTTAACTCCTGAGTTTAGTGTCACATATTTTAAAGCCTTTAAACATTTTAGCATTTCAGACTGGGAACTAGCATTTTCAAAGGAAGAGAGCAGCAATGGCAGGCTTAGTTATTATCTCAGTACTAGCTTCCTTTACAATGCAGAGTAGGCAGGGACAGTACCACATGTCGCGTTTCTGATGAATGAGTAGTTGTGATTAAATTTTTTGCTTTATTATTAAACTTTTTTTAATTTTTATTGCAGGATTTACACCATAAGCCAGTATAAAAAATCTGTCCCCTCAACGGACTAAAGAGAAGAGGAACTGTAAAAAAAAAGAAAAAGATGGACTGTAATTATTAAATTATTCAAGAGATTTTAAGGAGACCCCTGTATTTTACAGAAATTCTTATTTTCCCACGTGTGTACATTAGAGCTATATATGAACAGATATTTGTAAAGAAAAATGATTCATTTGTAAGGTTGTGCCATCACTTCAAAGTTGATTTTTGTATCTTGTAAAATTTTAATTACAATGGGGCCTATTTTGAGAAAAAAAATATCTGTTACATATCACCTTGGATAAAATTTTCTCTGAAGAGCACCTGTCATTTACAGAGAACTTCCAGACTAACATTATCACATAAAGGTAAGTACTGTATTTGCAGCTGATTTGTAAGTGGGAAGGTCATCTGATGTAGATTGAGGGCCTGTTCAAGGACCCATTCACACCACCACCAGATCACGACCAGACCAGATTGTTTCTGGACCTAAAATACATCCCAATGTTTCCCTATGCTCTTCTTGGCCTCCGTTCACACCATTGCAGTCAGTTCCCGACTAGACCAGAAAAATACTGCGTGCCACATTTTGTCTGGACTGGAACGCAACGGAACGCGCACAAACACGTCAAAAATGCGTCAAAACGCACTGGAATGCAGCGCAATTGGCTGATTTGGATAATCTCATCACCCCTGGACTTTCTGCTTCTCTGGAGAAAGAGAGAGATTTGTGAAGATAGGAACCATGATAGCTGAAGTGGACACCAAATTCTTTGTAGAACTTGTGGAAGCCTGCCCAGAGCTGTATGATCTGAGGCATGGGCAATAATAGGAAGATAGACGAGTGGAGAGGCATAGCTGCCCAGGTCATCCCTGGCTACGATCATTTGAGGAGCTCTGAAAAGAACAACTGTGGTAAGTTCATGTCTCTTATGTGCAAGCATCGTGCTGCTCTTTTTGATCTGTAGGTCTTGCAGAGGTCCCCCAGCAAGACCTAAAATTGAACGCGTCAAAAACGCAGCAAATGTGGCAAAAACCACGGCAAAGCGCAACGCTGTGCATTCCAGATCTGGTCCAAAAAAATGGTGTGAGCCTGCCATCAAAATAGGAAGGAAATCGCAAATCAACAGAGAGTCCGCTGACTTGCAATGGTAAGTGATCATCCCAACTGTTGCTTAGCGATCTGTTTTTTAAAAGGAATGCTAACGGAAGGGCATCAAAAATCAGTGGGTGTGAATGGGGCTAGTTCACACCGGATCTGTTGGGGTATGTTGCGTTGAAACAAAAAGTAGTGCATGTTCTACTTGTTTTTCAGTACAATGTAACGCAACGAATCGGAATTAGCCCCATTCACACCCATTCATTTGTCAATGCCCTTCCATTAGCATATGTTGAAAAACCAGAACTGATGTGAATGGGCCTTGAAAGGATGGGGAGCAAACCCATAGGGATCAGTCCAGATATATTTTTTATTTGTCATGATAGAAGAGTCTATGCAAGTAGTGGGCTGGATCTTGGGAGGAGTTATGCAATTATAGAAATGCCTTGATGGGTGGATGTCAGTCTGGAGGAGTGGGCATTCCTAGGCAGAGTGTAGTTGTATGCTGATCGCTCTAGGTAACGGCCACATGTAATGCTGAACCTCCATGATTGAAAGAACTGAAATCCAATGAATGAAATGGGGCGGGCCAGGGACAGCCAGGCTGGAGAGGAAAGGGCTAAATAATCCTGGACCTCCTCCAGCCAGGAAATGAGGCGAGCTCTATCTGATTGCTGCAGCTTCTAATCCATATTGCAAGGAGCTCACAGTGTGCAGTGAAATCAGAGGAAGCCATTTCAGTCCAGGAGAGGAACCGGTACAACTGTGCGAGACTGAAGGGAAGGCCTGAGGTCAGCTTTAACTTTCATTTTTTGTCCTGCACTAATGTCACATGGATCTGATTGGTTACAATGGGCAGCATTGTTGTTTTTCAAAATAGGCCCCAGCGTGTCTTACCAAAACTGCACTTCGCGTATTTATCTACAGTGCCATGAATCCACGATTCTTCTGCTAGGAACATCCCAGGTATATAATGCTTTAAGGTCCATGAGAAAAAATGGATGTCTATAGAAAATATATACACCTATATATATAAAGAACACATTATAAACTGTATGATGCAGACCTGAATACCAAATCAACAGCAACTGTGTATGATATCGCTTTATATTTGTATTTGTTCGTAATTTATATTTCACAGCCTTTGGTGGCGATTGAGCCATGATGGCCAATAAAATGAACATACATCATTAAAAGGGTGAGGATTTTTTCCCTTGAGATAACATGCAATGAATTGATCAGAGATCCTGGTGCCTGTGTATTTCTGACATCAGCCTCTGCTACAGCCTCCCAGGTTGTGGCTTGCTAGAATGTTACAGTCTGATAACTGGAGGAGGGGAGACCGAGCAAATGCTTCCTCCTGCTTGCAGCAGACTGATGACGTCATCTCGGACTAGGCAAAGTCACTGGACTGCAGCTAAAGGATGGCTTTTTAAAGTGTATGTCAGGGCAAAAAAACAGTAGTTTAGTACACCACCTTTTCAATACTTTTCAATTCCTATCCCACCTCAACCTAACCACTAAACCATCACATCTCAAACAATTCATCACCACACAGCTCCCTCCTCATGTATCACTTCTCCCTCCCTTTTAGATTGTAAGCCCTCACGGGCAGGGCCCGTGAGGGCTTATCTTGTCTTGAATTGTATTGTGATTGTAATGTCTTCCTTATATTGTGAAGCGCTGCGCAAACTGTTGGCGCTATATAAATCCTGTATAATAATAATACATGGAGATTCTCCATGTTTACTCCTTTACAAATGCTGCAAGTATAGAAAAATACCAGTTGATATGCCAGAAAGTGTTTGTGTTCCCAATTTCCTGCTTGGACTGACAACACAGTGCCCGTTGAACATGATATCACAATCAGCATTGTCCGTCAGCTATGCCTGATGGATTAGAGAACTTTGCCTATTCCCCACCGATCTGTGTCCCTCTCTACATGCTACATTGAGTTTTCCCCAGCAAAGCAATGCTGCTGCCTTGACTCTCAGGAGCCCACCCATACAATATTTGTAGCGATAGGGCTTTTGGAAGATATAGTTCTGGGGGTGTGCCTACATCATTAGGAACTGAACTACCACCTGTTGCACCTTTGAGAATCTCACAAGCCTGGTGATGTTATCGCAGGGAGTAATTAAAGCTGTTTTTTTGCTACAGGAACAAGGTTAAGGTAAAAGATAATGCTGGAACATGATCTAGTGGGGGTAAGGGGGTTTGGCGTTAAATTTGGATAATGCCTGGATATATGCTCTAATATGAAGGTCCCCCGACTTTTTCAACAAAGGGCCAGTGTGGGCCAGGCGCCCAACTGTTAGTGCATCAACATGGTACAGACATGCTTGAGACATCTCAGTCTCAAGCTCAGTAGATTAGGGAGCACTTTGCATACCATCGCTCAGGATCAGCTTCAGGCATGTTTAGTTTTAGGGCCAGGGTGTACCTTAAAGGAGAACTACGGGGTAAGTGTTTTTCCCCATAGTTCTCCTAAGTGTCACGGGAGGACACAAACTAGCATCCTCCCGTGACCCAAAGCTACAGCTCGCGGTATACTGAGACCGTCGCAGCCGGGACGGATTCCAACATTACTGTCGAGATCCACCCAGCTGCGTGATTGACAGGTGGCTCTGCCTATCTAGAGGCAGAGCCAGATGGACCCCCCCTCCCCGTCCGTTCCGCAAGTCAGCGCTGGAGGATCGGACAGGGGAGGGGGGGGAACCCCTGCAGGGAGCCGTGAGTGACAGTCACGGCTCTCTGCAGGGACATGATCCAGAAGTGAGCGAGCGACGGTATGTGTTCACTCACTTCCCGATCTATTGAGCCGACGTGTGAAAGATTAATTGTCACACGCCGGCTCGAACTATGAGGCTGAGTAAAAATCATTCACCTCATAGTTCTCCTTTAAACATAATTGTGAAAAGTCTCCTATATAGTACGACATGAGTCTGCCTCCTGACTGGATGTGGAACTCAACCTTCCTCTAACCTACCTCATCCCTGGCAGGATTGTCATTTGTTCTGCTACAATTTCAAGGCGTCATATACAACTTGCATATGCAGCTCCAGTTGGGTAAGGCTTTAACGTCCAACATGCTAGAGATCCTCCATGGTAAGTCCAGGTTGTTATATGTGAACAGTGAAAGTCAATGATAAGACATCCTATGTAAGGCTTAGCCACGGTTTACTCATCAAGCAGTCGGTTTGATACCTGCTCAGGGTTTCCACTCCTGTAATGTAAAATGGCTGGAGAGAAGTGGAGAAGGTGGCTCCCTAAGAGCAATGAGGGAGCTTTGAAGAAGAGTGATTGAAGATATTTAATAGGATGAGAGCACCATTAGCCCCCCTGAAATCGGATTACACCTCACTCCCCTACAATCAAAATGTCCATACAGCCACATACCCTTAAATGGAGGAATACAATATAAAGTGTATGTGTACTTTTAATAAAAAATGTGTCAGAGTCTTTTCCACCACCCCCTTTATTAAAAATATCACCGATCTAAGATACAGTTCTTTCATAAACATTTACTTATATCCTGGAGGGTGGATGTTTGCATAAATGTTCCATATGTGTAGGTTCATGTGAGATGTCCTGCAAGTGGCCTGATGGGATATATGTTGGATGCCCCAGTGAAGCTCCCAAGCTTATCCAATGTTGGGATAGGATCCTTGGTTTTTATTGAATACAAAGAATATGAGTGCCAGTAACTATATAAGATTCAACAAACTTTATTGCAGGCCATTCACTCTTGAACGATCCATTTTGATGAGTTTATGGCATGCATTCACGTGTGTTGAGTTAACCACTTGCTGACCGGGGTGTTACACCCCCTTCCTGTCCCGGCCATTTTTCAGTATTCAGCGCTGCGGTACTTTGACTGACATTTATTCTGTCTTGCCACGAAGTACTGAAATTAATTTTGTACCATTTTTT